TGCAGATTACTCAAATCATTAGTGAGATGAGAGGTAGATCCGGAATCAACATACCATGGAGTAGAGAAATTAGAAGGCATGGAGGAAAAAGCAGATTGAACAGAAAAAGCTCTAGGTGTTGCAGAAGAAAGACCCATAGTGTATGACGGAAATACTGGTTGAAAATTTGTATTCATTCTATGTCTACATTCCAAGGCTGAGTGATTGTTCTTGCCACAAATTTGACAAACCAAACCATAGCTTTGTGGTCTACCACCACCTCTTCTACCTCCTCTGTAATTGGTGTATCTGCCTCCTCTAGGCTGGAAATTTTGACCACGGCCACTTCTGTTATATGAATAATTTCGAGTAAAGTTGGTACTACGATAGACATTTTGTGATGATCCACTAGAAGAAGTAGATGGGCTGGTTTGAGAACCAATAGTAGTAGCATTAAATGCTACTGTGAGATCTGAAGAAGCTCATTGTTTATGACTTTATTCAACATGAATTGCTTCTGAACAAAGCAAAGCACACAACTCATCCATAGTTAGAACTTCATATTTAGCATGTATAGTTGTTTTGAAAGCATTGTACTCATCAGGTAGCCCATTAAGAACAAGAAGAATAAGATCTTCATCACAAATAGGAGATGAAGCTAGAGCTAGTTGATTAACAAATCCTTGACTTCTTGAAGATATTCTTCCATGGATCTTGTTTTCTTGGAAACAGTACTCAATTTATTTTTGAGCTGATGAATATGAGAACGCGAGAGAGATGTAAACCTTTTTTCAAGTGCAAACCATAGATCCTTACAGCGCTTCAAATGAAGTATTGAAGAGAAGATTGAAGATGTAAGTGTGGCTATTATGCAGCTAAGAAGAGATGAATCTATAAGCTTCCATTTCAGAAATTCAGGATTAGCAACAGTTTGATTATTTGCATCCAAGATTGTAGCAGATGGACACACAGATGACCCATCAAGAAATCCAAAAAGCTTAGTAGCTTCAAAGAAATTCAGAATTTGTGTTCTCCAAATAGAATAATTTTCAGACTCTAGCTTTATTGTGATCAACGAATTTAAATTTGCAACCAGTAGAAGAACATTGGAAGGCAATGAAGCCTTCTCAGATTGGATCGCCATTGTTGCTCATGAGAGCTCAGACTTGATGCTCTGATACCATGATGAAGAAGCAGAACCAAAGAACAGAGGAAATAGAAAGAGAAAATGTCTATATTTGATATTTAGTTCATTACAGATCTATATGATCAAGTTTGTTATTTATACACAAAATATCTAACTAATATCTAACTGATAGCTAACTTCATTGGAACTTGTTATAAAAGAATTAATATGTTGTAGTAGCTCTATTGTATTGTGATGCACCTGTAAGATCATTTGAACACTGTTTACATCTGCCTGCAGAACTAGCCTCAGCATGCCCACCAGTCATAGCTACAGCTACAAGAACCTGGTAAGACTGAGACTTGGTCTCTGACTCTTTAGATCCAATAGAGTTATCAATTTAGTGGCGTTCATGGCTGCCATTAAATATGTAAAAATAACAACAACAACAAAAATTGCAACAAAAATTCCATTAATCATTCTCTTATGTAAGCTCAAAATTTATAATTTCATTTGTATAATGCAAATATAACATTCATAAAACTAACAAAATACAATAAAAACAATATCTAACTCAAAAATATTTCAAACCAAAAATATTACAATTGCTTCAAATAATTCATCAGGATGCTCTGTCTTCTATCTTTAATGACTGTTTGCACACCAATACCATTTGATTTAAATAAATAAAAAAATCCCAAAAATGCTAATTTCCTCACATTAGCTTCGAGTTTTGCTACAAATCTCTCTGAAGAGCTCCATGGTTCATCATACCTCCCAACATGTAAACACAATATCCATTGGTACTTCTATTCTTGTAATCCTACTTTGTTGTATGTTTTATCCTCCAATGATTTAATTTCCTTTTGCAAGAGCTTCAAACCAATCAAGTTCATTAAAATATTCGTAAGTAGTAAAACGATAGAGCAATTGACTTGTTTATGTTAAATAAAAATAAAAAATAATAATAATTGAAAATTGACCAAGTGAAGAGAAACATACCTTAAAAGCCTTTAATAGAGCAATTGACTTGTTTATGTTAAACAAAAATAAAACTAATAATAATAATAATAATTGAAAATTGACCAAGTGAAGAGAAACATACCTTAAAAGCCTTTAATAATTTAAAAAATGCAAAATAAGCAACAGTTTCAAATAGTTAATGAATTACTCTTTGGTTATTCTAATACCACTATCCCTGCAAAACCAGATAAATCCATTTCAGACAATTATTTTCATTACCCAAGAAGGCTTAAAACAAAAAATAGGATCACCATGCATTATAAATATGGTCCCCAGTCTGGATCTGGTTTGATGTAAATTTCTTGTTCCCAAGCATCCACAAATAAAGATCACTCATCAAATTTCTTGTTCCCAAGCATCCACAAATAAAGATCACTTCCACTACAAATTGATTGAGAGCATCAATAGAATTCACTTCCATTTCCCCGAAAGGAATGAAATAGAAAACAGAATCACCATACATGATAGTAATGTGTAAAGAAATATTTTTGGGGCAAAAGAAAATTTTATTTATAAGTAATACAGGGATTTCAACTTGGAAACAAAACTCTTTAAATTTTTTTTTATAAGAAATCATTACAAAGCTTTCTTAATACCTCTAAATTACCAAATCTCAAAACCAAATTACAATTTATACTTCCTTTCCTAATCTATGCAAGTAATAAAGTTTTTAATTGAGTACTCCTTTATCTCCTTATAGTCCTTCACCCGGTGCATTGTTCTCACTAGGATAATGTCTGCAACTTCCTTTCATTCTGCAATTTCATTGTTAGAAACAGAGTTATTGCACTGAATCAAAGACTGATTAAAAACTGTGGAGAATAGTAACTCCCTGATTAATTTCTTCAATCCATTCATTTAAATCCAAATCACCGTCTCATTAACGTTTTCAAATCAACAAGACATATTAACCATAACCTCACCATTTTAAACAAAAACTCCAAACCTTCATGAAATTGACATAAAAGCTATTCCTCGTAATTAACAAATCACAATTAACAAAAAAACTTGAACTTTAGATGGGATGAAGGATTTCCAAACGAGATTGAATACTGACCTTGAGAGACCATATGAAGCTTGATGATGACTACAAAATAAAGTTACCCAATATTGACCGTTACATTCCCAAGTCCATAACATTTTATCCTTTGCCTCTAATCTGTACCAAAATTAGAAATTAATGTCCTTGTCATCTTGCTCCATTTCCCAAGCAAAAAGATCCCTTCAATATTCTAATCTCAAAACCCAACCATCATAACCATGAAAATGCATGCAAGAATATAAAAATTTAATTACGAGAACAAAACATAGATTTATAAATGATGAAAAATAAAGAAAGGGATCTAGGCATATTGTTGTTCAAAAAAAAAAAAATCTAAATTCATATAGAGGGAAGCTTGAAAGCATAAACAAAGTGCCCAATGTATCATGAAACTTAGTTGTACAGGCAACACAAGCATACATCACCTAACTAGTTCTTTTGGGGGGGAACAAAAGAGCCAGTACCTGCTTGATCTGTAGTTGGTTTCAACATTTAAACTTTTAGAAGTTAAAGAAGCACCAATACTGTGTTTTCTATCCTTATCTAAAAAATATACTACTTCAGCTAATTTATTCCATTTAAAAAATTAAGAAGGCACAAGTGCATGTGAAATGACATAAACTACTTTCCACACATACATGTCTCATATGTCTTTCAGGTAATTTATCAAACATGTAAAGGCCAATTGAACCCAAACTAAGTAAAATGGTACATTTATCAACAAATATATAAAAATTAAAAAATGAAAAATGAAATTAAGATTGTAAGCATGAAGGAAAAAATTCTAATCAGATTCAAACATTTGATTTCTTTCTTAATTTCTCAATTTTAACCAAACTCTAAACAAAATTTAAAGTCAAAGTCGGATGGAGAGATAAGAGAGAGAGGCGAGACAGAGGGTTGCAATAGAGGCGTTCCATGATTTAGGAAAAGAATATATCCCTAAAATATGTGTACATATATATATATAGTGGATTTTTGGGGCATCGTTTAATGAAATGATAGTAAATGGTTCAGTTACACTTTCTTCAAAACATGTAACTAAATAATATTTTCATGGCATTTTTTTAAATAATGACACTAAATTAATGCCATTAAATTATAACATTTCACTAATTAATACTTTTGTGGCATATGTTTTAAAAATGATGTGACATTTCTTTATTAAAATGCTACAAGAGCTTTTTATGCTTGTGATTTTGTGACGTTTTTTCTTAAAACGTGCCACCAAATGTTATTTTTGTGACAATTTCTAAAAACATGCTACTAATATAGTGTCACTAAAGTATATTTTTGTTGTCCTTAGGACTTATAGATTCATTACAGATCTCGTTTTAATAATTTGAACTTTTTCTTTTGTGAGGTCTTTCGTGTATATCATTTTTGAATAAATAAATAATATTAAATCGATCTAATAATCATAATTTTTTTCATTTTACCATTTTTTTTTCAAAAAAAAAAAGGACAAGTTAACTATAGGACAATAATGAAAATTAAAAATAGAGGACAATAATAAATAGAGGGAGCATCCACATCAAATTCAACAAATTTCGAGCTAAATTTTTTTTGATCAACAAAAAGAAACTTTATTGATGAAAAAAGCAAGATACATGCGAAACTTACATCAACAAAGAAGGGAAGTGCAAAAAGCATCATAGCAACCAAATCAATTCCAACTAAGTTGACACCGATGAGGTAACACAATCCTATGCTAGCACTAAAACCAAGATTGGTGAGGAACCAATCAACAGAAACAAAAAGAGAGGAAAGGAAAAAAAACAACAAATAACCAGAGCACACTCGTAGCCAGACCAGAAACAACATCAAATCCTAAACTGAGAAATCAACAGCACACCACAAACACTCCCAAATCCCAGACACAGCAGCAAAATCAGCAACCATGTGAACAAAACTAACATACAGTAACACCATCTGGACTATAACAAAAACAGCACCAACTACTGCAACTTCACACCACAACATTGCAGCAACAACACTTTTACCCACACCAGCAATGACCAAGCTCCAAACCTCTTAGCTGCTCCTGCTACTCTAGCATAAGAAGCCCAGCAAACTACAAACCCCTTCAAATCCCTTCAACTACTATGACACCCTGAACTGTAACCACACCAGTAACACCTCAACAACTGGACCCAGCAGCACTTTTAACCCAAACACTGTCTAACCTGATGTAAATTAATCACTATATCTTGAACTGAGTATTGCAACCATGCAATATTACTCTTTGCCCAGAAAGCTATCCTAGACTTCAAATCTACTAGCTCAACAAAATTAGGAAGTCTTCCAGTGATCACATTCTCATTCCTCAGCTTCCACACTGACCACAACATTACAAGTGGCACCAAGTTCCAGATTTTCCTCTCCTTCTTCTTGAGTTTCACCCCAACCCACCATTGTAACAAAGCTTCAACTGTACATGGTACCACCCAACACATACCCCACCAGTTTACTAATTCAAACCATACCCACCATACCGGTGGGCAATGAAATAGAACATGACTAATCGATTCAACTGCATTCCTACATAATGGACACAAGACACTAACCTGATCATCCAACACCCCAATCCTATGTAAAAACTCAGCAGTCTTTACTCTTCCCCTCCAGGCTAGCCACCCAAAGAACTGTATTTTTGGTGGAGCCACAGATTTCCAGAGTCTTTTAGCAACACACAGATCAGGTCTTCTATCAACTTGAAGCCACTTCCACACAGATGCCACTGTGAACTGGCCTGAAGAATTCACCCTCCAATGCAAACAATCAACCAAATTCCCATTCTCGACATGGCCATCATTCAACCAATCCCTCAACCTACTTACCTCTTCTTCTTCCCAAGCTCTTAATTGTCTTCGAAACCTTAAACTCCACTGTCCTGACCCTACTCTTTGCTGCCTATACTACATGACCAAACCCTCCTTGTCCACTGATAACTGAAACAATCTTGGGAATTCATCCCTTAGCACTCTATTGTTGCTCCACTTATCAATCCAAAATTTAATTCTTTTCCAATTCCCAGTCCTTACTTTTGCATTTTCCAAATAGAACTCTACCAACAGTGGATTATCTTTAGCAATACTCAAAATACCCTACCAAATTGGAGAAACTCTACCTTCTACCCTTCTCATAGGCCACCACCCTCCACCTTCCTTTCCATATATACTACACACTACTGTCTTCCACAATGCATCATCCTCAACACCATATCTCCACCACCACTTCAAAAGAAAGCTAGCATTCATATCACTGATGCTCCTCACCCCTAAACCACCTTGACTCTTGGACTTAGAAACCTCCTTCCATCCTACTAAATGAACCTTCCTTCTATACTCACTCCCCCCTCCCCAACAAAAAATTATAATCAAAAAATTATTTTTTGTATTTTATCTAACATTTTTTGTATGTACACATGTATCAGACTCTTTATTCTAAAATTTCATTTTATAACATATTCATTTTAATGATCTGCTGGATTATCTAGAAAGTTCTAGGAAAAGTTGTCATATTCCTCAAAATAATAATAATAATAATAATAATAATAATAATAATAATAATAATGGTGCATAGCTGGTTATCCAGCAGGATGTCTAGTAATAAATGATAAAATATTGTATTTCATATTCCAAAAAAAATGGTGTAGCAGTCGATCGTCCAACGGGATGTTTGGTCGGATGACCGACAGGATGTCCAGTCACTCCTAAGAATAAATGATAAAATATTATATAATATGTGAACAATACATCGCATCATGGAGCAATTTATTATAGCAATGCCAAATTTAATTTTGATATAGCGAGGCTAATGGAAGAGTGATTTTGCACCTTACTAAACAAATTTTGTCCTAAAAGTATAATAACCAGCAACGATGACTGCGGTTCGGTTGCGGCTGAGAAGCCTCCAATCCACCATCTGTTCACCAGATTGACGGATTGGAAAAAATTAATCTGCATTCATCCGCCGGATTGGCAAATGCGGATTGAGCGGATTGACAAATTGGCAGATAGAGGTGAGTCGGTTTGGCGGTTAAACTTTTACAAATTTTGAATGTAATACAACTTGTCCTTATTATTTTTGGAGAGCAATCCAACTCAACATAACCAAAATATTATCAAGTAAATTGTCAAAGACCAATAATAAATACACATAAGAAAATTATGCATTATCAAAACTATTTCATTACTTTTTTATTCAAAAACTATTTAATTTAATTTTTTTTAAAAATGACAAAATTAAACCTTATATTTTCCACACAAAAATACCAAAGATCAACACTTGCCATTCGATAAAAGGATTTCCAAATTGAAAACACAATAGAATATCTAAACTCTTTTTCAGTTGAAAACACAAACAGAATATCTAAACAAATTGAAAACACAAAATCTTATAAATTACTAAAGGTGCTCGCAATTTGGTAGTTCGGTTGCGGTCAAATGAACCTCAAATTCATCATCCATCCAAAAACTAGACAGATTTGAAAAAATCAATTTGCAACTGTCTGCTTGTCATCACGTATCCGTCTAAAATATGACGAATCAGTTCGGTTCAATCAATTTGGACTAATCGAAATATGCACTAAGTACCCCTAATAACCAGCCTGATGTAGTTGCTATAGGTGGACAACTTGACTTTCATTTTAACGTTCTCTCTAATTTTATTTGACTTCAACCAAAGTGATTGGGCTATATTAGTTGGGCTTCGTTGTAAAGGTGAACCCAAGACTTTTGTTTAATGTAAGCAATTTTATTTTAAAAATGTTAGAGGCTCTAAAGTTATACTAAATATTTGATCAAATATTTCACATAAATGTGAATCCCTCACTCATGTGGGATGCTATAAAACCTACATCTATATGAGATATTTGATCAAATATTTAATAAAGTTTTTGATATTTCTAACATAACTCATTTTATTTTGTCAAACCTCTATATACGCTGCATCATCCAATCAGCAATCGCCTGGACGTGTGTTTGGGGTGAGTCCCTCTTCACATGTGCATGCTTTGGTTTTAAAATAATAAAAAAAAATTAAAAATAAAATGAAATAAACGGGAATTGACCCAAAAATCCCATTTTTTGAACTTATAATATGTATGGTCCTAAATGTTTTCTTAGTAACTATATGGTCTCTTAATTTGGTTGTTGACGTATTTGCCACTAGTAGCGTGAATGGTTTCCAAATGTGCAAGGAAGATGAATGGGAGTGTGTGTTTCACGTTGACTTAGAAAAGCGCACTAGTACTGTTTTGAAGTTTTGTGGGTTTGTGACACGCGCATAGTGGGTCATTGTTTACGTTTTAAAAGTTGGGTCGCACATGACGTCTACACGAGCATTCAGTCGGACGTGAAACGTTTACGGATTTTCGACCCGTTCACGACAATCCGACCCTGTGTCAACGATCCACAAAAAAGGAATAACCCTCAAATGGAAAGGAATCGAATTGGTGATTTTGGATAGAAAACCTTCTTTTTTTCCCTATTGTTGTTGCTGTAGATTTTGAAATTCAAATACGTCTAGGCGGAGCTAAGCAACATGATTTGTGGGATTGTAAACAAATTGATATTTAGGTCATATTAGTGTGGGTGTTGGTGTGGTTTTGGGTGATTACTGGTATTTCTTGAAACCCTAACTTAGGGATTGCAACGTGGGTGTTCGTTCTGTTTCAAAGGGAACCGTGGACGTCTTTTTCTGTTCCGTCAATGTCTGCAAAAAATAAGTTAGAGTGAGAGATACTGTTGTTATGTTAGTTTATCATTTGTTATGTTAATTGTTTTGTAATAGTGTCAGTCATGGTCTGTGAATTTGTTTGTCACGTTATGTTTGTAAGTTTGTTTTGTTGTTGTTTGGTTAACATGTGATGTCAACATCATGGTGATTATTGATAATTTGCTGTTAAATAAGCTGTTGGTGGTCCCTTTGTGGCCATAAAGAATTTTATTATTTTGAGAAACAATTTGTAGGGGAGTGGACCATTTTGTTGGGGATGGTGTTAGGCTGTGTGGTGTTGTTTAATTTTTTGTGGATCTTGCTATGTAGGGTGGTTGTGTATAGTGATTTTCGGTTGTTTCATTATTAGTGGTTTTGGATTTGTGGACAGAAAGGGTTTGTGGGTAAAGTGTCAATTTTTGTAGAGCGTAGATAAGGTACGTTAATGGGCTGCCAAGTTCAATAGTGTGGTTTGTTAGTTTGTTTATACGTGTGTGTGAAACGGGGTCAGTTGTAAAATGCACGAATCGTGGGTACGTGAAGACATTATGGGTGTGTGGGTCCATACGTCACAGTTGCTGGAGTGGATTTGGGGGGTGCGATGTGGGTTTTTATGTTTTTTATGTTTTTTTTTTTTTTTTTTGAAAATTGTGGTTCTTGACGAAAGTGTAATTATAATGTTAAATTGTGTATGTTAATGTGATACGTAACCCCTCATGTGATTGCATGCGTTTGGTTTTATGTACGTGAACATATATGTGGGTGGTGTGAGTTAGTTTAGGTTGGGAAGTTTCGTTGTGTTAATTATGTTAGTATAGTTGAATGACGTTGTGGCATGGGTGCGTGGGTCGTAAGTCCGAAATGGACATCAACACGTGCTTACTTTTATTGTTTTGTTTGGATTGTACTTTGCATCACACATTTGTTACGGTTAAGGCGAATGATAAAAACCTGATACATGCAAACAGTGAATTTTGCTTTGTCAAGTTAATTTGCTAGGGTGTTGTGGATTAGTGTAAGAACTTGTTGTTTTGTTCATTTTATGTTTGGAGCATGCGTTTATGATGTTGTTATTCCATGTTGCAGGGCATGGAAGTGGTCCCAACCCGTGGACGCAGTCACGTGAACACCAATGGCAGGAAACATTAGGCTTGGCAGACACCAAGGAAAAACGCATGAAGATGCTAGCGCGTGTGTTGTTCAACCAGAAAGAAGTTGGCGCATGTTCGGGGGGTTCACATAGATGTCCGAAGGCACGTCTAAATTTCTGGTCAAACATGTCAGGCATTATTAAGTTGGTGTACGCGATGAAGCTTCGGGACGTGCACCTTGTGCATTTGAGGAAAACCCTCTTCTGGCTGATGTACAAAGCGATTTTGATAAATCAGCTTGATCACATGGAATTCAGAAAAGGTAATGATTTGGTGGTCAGCATCATAAAGGCATACAGCATACAGCATGGGAAGTTTGTTATTGGTGGCTAGAGTGTTAATCTGACAGATGAGGATATCAAGTTATTATTTGGACTGCAATGTGGGGATGCTTTTCTTGATTTGACGCCAAGACCGAGGCCTCCGTCGGATTTTGTGCAACGTAGGTGTAGAGGAACGAGTCGAATTACAGCAAAACTTGTCAGGGATATATTGACTGAGGCAGCAGCGGGAGACACCCCTCGTGATCATGAGGACACAGTAAAACTGTTATGCCTTTATGTTTGTGGGAAGTTGTTTTTTGCAAACTCCGGAGAGACAATTAGTTGGACATTTATCTGAGATGTTGAAAATTTAGAAGCAATGAAATTGTACGATTGGTGTGGAGCGATACGGCACTCACTGATGTGTTCTGTTAGGGATTTTCACAGGACGCCTGAGAAAGTGACTGGATGTGTCATCGCCTTGTTGGTAAGTGGTGTGTGGAATAACTGTTTGTGTAGTTGATTTGAAATGGCTGGTTATTATTTTCTTGTTTGATTATTTTAGACATGTGTATGGCGTGTAATGTGTTGTGTATTGTTCTCTCCAGTTCTGGTTATGCGAACACACAACCATAGTTAAAGCGAAATCGGTGCACATGTTTCGAAGATTTTTGAAATGGAATGTTGGTGAATTGGTATCCAGTGCACGAGGGGTGAAACTGTCAGTGCAAGCAAAATTTGAGGTATTGTTTGTTTTGTTTACGTGTGGTGTTAATGTTAAAATGCGTGTTTATTGTTTCTGATGTAAATTATGGGCCACATCTGAATGGTTTGGTGAATTTGTGTTGCGTGCAGGTATTACTAGATAATTTGGTGGTTGCGGAACATGAACGTTCCATCCTAATGGGTTGTATACGCTCGGGTGATGATGTAGACCTGGTCGATGACGGTACGGGGTTAGTGGTAGGTGGTTTATGTGAACGATGTAATGACGCGAATGCCGATGATGCTGGGGGTAAGACTGAAGCAGTAGGTGGCAGGATGTCCATTGGCAATGATGAAGAGGTGGGTAGACAGTTGAGGGAATTAAGGGGCGACGTGGATGCATGTCCGGGGATAAAAGTGGGAACATCCAGGTCGGATTTTGATGACGTTAGCGGGAAAGGGGGTCATCTTCGAGCTGGTACGGAATATGTGGTTGACTGTGTGAGTAGAGATGAGACAGAAAAATTTTTGACGAATTTGATGAACGAGGTTGCAATGTTGAAACGGAAGAATGAGATGCAGACAGTGAATCTAGTTGGAGGGTTCGAGAGCATTTTCAAAGTTAAAGACGAGGAAATTAAAAAACTGGCAGAGGAAAATGCAGAGTTCAAGAGGACTATAGCGTGTTTGGAAAAGCAACTTGCGGATCAGGCCGTGCACAATGTCACGCAACGTTACAGTGGATTCATTGGTAAGGCTGTTGGTGAAATGGTATCTAAGAGAGACGACGGGAGGGGTCTGCAGGGGGTGGGAAGCAGTGGGAAATCGATTTATAGCGATGTTGTGGGAAATGCGTCCCCATTGTCGTATGTGCATGGTTTCAGACGTAATAGCGAGACAAATGTAAATGCTGGTGTAGGTCAGGTTGGAGAGCATGAAGTGTTTGTCATCAGTCCTGTGATTGGGGATGGTGGTGCGTTGGACGATGGTATGAATTCGTTTGTGCGTAATATAAAAGGAAAGGCTTGGAAAAATCTAAAATTACCAGAATTTGAATATCCGGAGGTGCGTATGCGGCATCGAAAGGTGGGTAACAAAGGTGGAAGTGCACGGGACGGTATTGTTGGGCATGGGTTGGACGGTGTTGAGTGTGATGATGTTGTTGACGTTGAAGAGGTTGCTGATGTGGCTAAGAATTTTTCTGGGTTTGGTATAAACAACCGTAACACTATGTGGAAGATGATATCTGAGTGCGAGAAAGGTATCATACGAACTGCATATGACAGATATGGTGATGGGTGAGGAAATGTAGTGTGTGTTGTTATTTGTTTTTTTTTTTTTTTTTTGACGTAATGTGTTTGACGTGTGTTGCTTTATGTAAAAGTGTTGTTGTGTAAAATGTGTGCAGGGCGGTGATGTGGGTTGGGCGAGTGGATGGTAACGTTGTTTACTTTTCTGATGTAAGGGCTATTGTGCGGCAGGGAGCTGTGAGAGGAAATGTAAGTTGTGGTGAATTTTTGTAGTAATTGGATATTGCAGTGCTGGTGAATGATAGTTCGGTCGCACATGTTTTCATTGTGGGCGTGATGGTTCACAGTTTGTTATTACCTTTTTGCAGGTGATAGATGTTTATGCCGAGGTGCTTACAGATGAGTAGGAAAAGTGGAATGCAGGGAACGATTTCCCAAATAAATCTCACTTCTTCAGCAGTATATATTTGGTGAGGGTCTTATGCATGCATGTGTTTATGTGTTTGTTTGGTACATTGTATCGTTTTATGTTGTTGATTATTTGGCTGATTCAGGACATGATGAAGAATGAGAATAAGTTGACCAGGGAAAAATACGTGATGAATAACATGTGTGCCGCAAGAGATGCGCATTACTTCCATTTCCCCTTATGCCACCAATCGTATTGGACTCTTGTTGTGCACGACACGGAGGAGGATAGTTGGAAACATTACAACTCGATACGTAATAGGGGTGGTTCGGGGGGTGCTCATACTAAAGAAGCTATGACGTTGGTGAGTTTACACAGTGGTGATTTAGTGCATATGTTGGGTTTCCCCCAAAATTGCATATGGGTTAATATTAGTTTGTTTTGTTTGGTAATTGTGCAGAAAAGAATTTTTGTCCAAGTGCAACGAGAGTCGATGGTGTCTCGTGGAGTGTTTGACGTCATCGAAACACAGGAAGTCGATACGCTGGTGGAGTCAGTCGTGAAATGCCCACAGCAATGACCAGAATCGTAAGTGGCGCGTAATCTAGTTGGCGTAAATAATGCCACAAATTGGATTCATATCATTTTGTAATTTGGTTTTTTAATTATTTGTTTGGTTTCACAGGCTTGACTGTGCGATTGTAGTTTGCACCGTCATGAAATAGTACGTGCACCATGTGGATGTTGCGCGGTCTTTGCAAGAAGGCAACTGCAGTGTTCTTCGAGCCAACATGGTGAAGCAGTTGATTGGGGATCCACTGAGAGGGGTTACCAGTAATATGGGTAAGGGTGAACATGGTCCGAATTGGTTCGGATTGGGGTAAAACCAGGACCAATCCGTTATTTACAGTTCCTGAAAAATTGGAACCAATCCAATCCATTTAAATTGTGGAACGAATCCGAACCAATCCATATCAACACGGATTGGATCGGTTTAAGACCACGGATTCACATAATTAAATAACAATAAAAATATAGAACATTTTAATTTTTAAAAAACATAACCACCATAGCAGAGTTATCCTAAAACTGGATATACATTACACAAAGGAAGAAAAAAAAATAAATAAATAAATGCAGCACATCATGGATACACATTACTGATATTCTGGATACACATTAACAAACTCCATAAACAGGGGAAAAAAGTGATAATCTGAGATGAAATCAAACAGATCATATATGAGCAGAGTTATCAATTATGGCTTAAAAAACAGAGCAATCCAACAAATCATACACAAATATAATATTAATCTGAGAGTACAATGCAAAAAACAGAGTTATAAAGAAAACAAACATAAATCTAAGACTACAATGCAAAAAGAAACAGAACACAAATGAAACCCACAAAATATATATATATATATGAGTTATCAAATGTAACAAATCAAGGGCTGAAAAAATCAGCATACGGGTTGCAGAAGAAACCCACAAAAGAAAATAAAATATATTCATACATATATATATATGTAGAGAGAGAGAGAGCTACAACTAGCAATCTGAGATGGATGATCTGATCTGAGATGGAGGATTTGAGAGAGAGAGAGAGAGAGAAAGAGAAAGAGAGAGATGAGTGTGTGAGAGGCAGTGTGTGAGTGGCGTGTGAGGTTGAAGATCTAAGATGGATGATCAGAGATGAAGGATTTGAGAGTGCCTGAAGAGAGAGAGAGTACCAAGAGAGAGAGATGAGAGTGTGAGAGACAGTGACTGAGTGAACGGCGTCTGAGATGCATGATCGGAGATGGATGATGATCAGAGATGGATAAGAAAGAGAAGAGATTGAGATGAGAATGTGAGAGGCACTAAGGCAGTGAGTGAGCTGCTGAGCGGCATGTGTAGTGAATTAGGGCTAGTCTTGAGCTTTATATGAAATAAGAAATTATATTATGTGTGAGGGTACATGGTATAAATATAGACTTAAATGTATACGGTCCGGATCGGTTCCAATCCGGAACCGTGAGGTTTAATCCAAAACCGATCCGTGACCTACGGATTTTCAAATTCTTAATCCGAAACCGAACCACGGATTCAAAAAACCAATCCAATCCAATTAGACCGGATTAGATTACAGATTATACGGATTCCTTGCTCAGCCCTAAATATGGGGCAAACATTGGTATAACGTGGAAGATTATAATAATTTAGGATTTTTTGGGGGTAGTGTAGTGAACTTTGTGTGCATACAGTTATTGTGGTTTACTTATTTTGTTTGGAACATGGGGAAAATGTTGCTTTGTTTTTTGAGTTTTTTTGAAATTTGGTGAAACTGTTTATTTGCACATGAATGTTTTTTGGTTGGTTTGTTATGCTAAGATTGTGGATTCAAATTTATTTTGGCGGGACAACAATGAGTGTGTGTGTTGGTTGTGTGTTTGTTGGAGTGGGTGGGGCGATTTTGTTTATTTTTTATTTTTATTTGGATGGTGGGTGTGCGGGGTTAAGTTGTGGTTCTCGTTTGGTTATTGGGCAACGGTGGGGTCAGTTGATGTGTTGTTCGTGGGACGTGTGTATGGAACGAGTGAGTGGAGTTGGAGATTTTTTAAGTTTGGGGGGGTTGGTGTTGTTTGCATAGCGTGATCATTTTTGTGGGAGCGTGTATGGAATATTTGTATCGTGCAGCGAATAGTGTATGGATGTAGTGGAAGGTGGGTGGTGCATTGTTTATGTTAGTTGAAAAGGTGTGAGGTGTGACCATGGTTGGCGTACTCTTTGAAATTAGTGTTCTGTTATGAAGGACGCTGTCGTAACGTGCAATGTGAAGTGTGTGTAGTGGTTGTTTTCTGTGGGTAGTAGTGGAACGTGGTCGCTGGGAGTGGGAGTAATGCAGTGTCAACCACGTTGGACATTACATCGCCGTGTGAGGGTAGTGAGCATGTAGAAAGCTATGTTGATGTTTGAAGGGAGTTTTGGTGTAAGTGTAATGGCATGTTAAAATGACGAGAACGTGTCGGTTGGAACGAAAACCATATATTGTGTATCGTGAAGTGTTTTTCACGCTATATTATGTTTTGTCACACATTTGTAGGATGGAAGTGGATGCAATTGAGTGATGTGAATGTGTGGTGATAACGTTAAAAGAAAAGGGTGTGATGTAACTATGCTTGGCATTGTGGTTGCAATAGTGTTTAAGTGTTCTGTATGACTTGGTTGCTGAAAGTGTTAGAGTGTAGTGTCTAACATGTGCGACGCTATGTTGACGTTTGAGGGGAGTGTTTGTGTACGTGTAATGTCAACCTAACACGACGATAATGTCTGGTGAGGAACGAATATAATGTAATGTGTTTGATGGATGGAAGTGGCTCCGAAATTGTTGTTTTAGTCCTGGAGTAATGTTAGGACGGTACAACCAACATGTAAATAACATCTTATGTGTCTGTGGCACTGCATAATTACAGAAGATAACAAACACGTAAGTAACGATTTACGTGGATGTGGCACGGTGCTGTTACAAAAAAAATAACTTGTTTACATTCAATGTTTGAAAATTGGTGAGTGATTAAAATGTGCTGTTTTAGTCCCACGGTAATGTTGGTACAGTATGTGTTGTTCTTTTTTTTGTTGGCAATGTGTGATGTGTGAAATTTGGAGGGTTGACTATTGTCATAATACACATATTATATGATGTGTACGTTACACATTGAATATTCATAAATGGTGTGTCGTCGCACACTTTTTATATAATTGCCTCAAAAATGAATAGAGATTGTTCGTGAAAATAACAAAAACGTAAATAAATATTTATTTGGCATTGTCACAGCGTAGGTATGAAAACTAAAAATTGTAAAGTTGAACGTTCAGGCTTTCGTGAGCGGTTTAAATGGGCTTGTTGCATGTTTTCCTGTTGTGGTTCCCCATGCGGCCACACCTGCTGCAGTGGACATGTTATACATGCTCACCCCTTGATAGTATCCGCTTCTTCTTTGGCCTACCAGGAGGGCATTTGACAACGGGGGGGTTGATGAGGTAGTTATGCAGATCAAACGGTAGTTGTTCCATGGTTGGAATTGGGAAGATACTTACGACGTAAGTCGAACGGTATTCTGACACATGGAAGTAGGCTACAAGATCGTTCAAATCACGACCGCTTTTCCTAACGGCGACCATCGCGTGTGCGCAGGGGAACCCATTAAGTTGCCACTGGAAGCATGAACGTGTTTGGGTGCCAATGTTGACTGTAACCGAAGGGAATGAGTGGACCTTGTATACGTCTACATTTGATTGGCTGACTCGCCATGACCTGCCTTTGTTGAAAGTTTTCTCCAAACGGGACTCTATTTTTGGACATATTGTACCAGTCCATGATTGGGATGGATCTCTACGCTTTGACATTTGACGCATTATTTTGGCTCTAATGCTGTTAACCATCCTGGTGACTGGCAGATTACGAGCCTCCCGTATCCATGAGTTGAATGATTCTGCAGCATTTGAGCACATCTCGCCATACCGTCTTCCCCTACAATTTAAAAATGAGTTACAGGTGTTATAGATTGTAGAACAATGTGGACGATTTGTGTAAGGTGAATTTTGTTGAGAATTATGGTGATGCCCATTTCATTTACCTGAAAAATGCATTAGCCCAATGTTGTGGTGGTGTGGTAGCAAGAAATTCGGATGTAACACCGCGGCCTGATTTGTGGAATTGTTCGAGTTTATCATTGAGCGCGGTAACCGTTGGTGCATATGCGTAGTGGCGTAATTTGTTCACCAACCTAGCCCGGTGCATACTGTTTGTATAACGCAACCTGTCACGCAGATTTCTTTGCAAATGCTGCAAACAGAAAGCATGTTCCGCATTAAGGAAAACAGTTGGCATTGCTTCCAGTAACCTGGCGTTCTTATCTGAAATGAATGTGAGTGGTCTGTCCCCATTTAGAACATGTGCAAGGTTTTGTAGAAACCACGACCAGTTTGTCGTGTTCTCGGAGTCAACCACAGCGAACGCTAGTGGGAATAACCTTGTAACACATGATGGACGTTCACAACAATTGTTAAAAAGTATATTTTGTGAATATCAAACGTGAATGTATGAATGGTGGAAATGTTTATGTATGATAGAATGATGCGTTAGTAGGAAAATTTGGTGGGGATACAAACCTTGGTTGTCATCCTTCGCAGTGGCTGCTAGTAAAAATCGTTTGAAACAACCTTTGAGGAATGTGACATCAAGGAAAAAGAGTGGACGACAGTGGGTGAACCCATCGATGCATGCCTTGAAAGATATGAAGTATTTTGTGAACCAGTGGGTGTGTTCATCGTGCTCGAGGGTAACGTAACTGCCGAGGTTGTGTTCCATCACAACAACACTGTACCACCACAACTGATCGAATGAAATTGAATGCGCACCAAATAGTTCCCCCGTTGCTTTTTCAACCCCAAGCCACGCCACACGGTAAGTTATGTCCAGACTGTAATCTTGTTTTATGTCAAGTATAACTTCGGTTGGACGTGTGAGCGGCTTGTCACGTATCCGTTTTACCATGATGTCGGCCACCAGGTCAGATCCAACAAGTCGATTTGTGGACGTGCGTACAGCAACACCACAGGTATGTTCATTAACCTATTTGCAGAGGTAAAAGAACCCATTTGCCTCCAATTTTCTTGCATGAACATTCCAATTGCAGCCCTTCGTTGCAGACATTACGCAAATGGCGGTAATCCAGACAAAGTCATTTTTAACATAAGTGAACTTAAAGCCGCACTAAACAACGTATTTGCGCAACATATTGCGGAATTCAGCTGCGCCATCTTTAAAATGCTGTCCTATATGAGTGATCCCACTTGCCCATGACTCCGACATGAATACCTTATCATTATGGGGGCAGAATGTCTGCAACAAGTCAACCTCATCATCTATCTCGAAATTGTCCAACTCACTTGGGCGACGCGGCGTTAATGTTCCGCTAACACTCTGATTGTTGGATTGAATCCATGTGTCCGCACCCAAATTTTGTTTGACAACCACGTCGACAACCTGTAACCGGAACGACCACGCAAGACAAAGCATATTTTCCACGTCGACGTCATTTTGTAACGTGAACTCATTGTACCCCGGTATTTTGAAGAAAAACAATATGTTCCCCGGGGTGAGTTCCTTGAATTTTGAACAAACGAATTCGGCTAGTTTGTCATAAGTGTGTGGCGGTTGTGGGTTGTACGTAACATTCGTAGATTGGTAACAACACATAAGCATTATAAATGCGTCCATCTGTAAGGGAAAGATGTGTAAGTCGTATACAAATACGCACCATTGGTACAAAATGATACAATACCCCCCTTCCCCCACATGAACAGAACAAAAAACACTCATCCCCTCCTCCCACATACACAAGAAAAAAACACTCCTCCTCCCCCACGTGAACCCCACAATTGAAAATAGACCGGCAGTAAGAACCATGTGCGGTAACAGAAAACAATAAAAGTCGAACAGGAAAAAAAATGAAGTCGTAAACGATTGCATTGATTAATCACCAAACGGGGTATACCGATGAATTCCTCGACAACAATGTAACAACATATAAATGCAACTGATAAAAAAGAACCGGGTACACGTACAAAATGAGTACATACACCAAACCAATGTTCAATGACAGCCTCAATATTGAGTGATCCTGAATGTGCAAATGTTGAATAATAAAATGGTTTCATAATGTACCTGTGAAAAAACGACCGGTAGAAGCCAGTGATCCACGTAACCCCCCACTGCAACCCTAACTGCGTTGCCCTACTCCGAACAACAGAAAGCAATAAAACCCTAGCCCCGCTATTTGATACCTATGAGGCTTGCAATAGTAGTGCTGCTAGTGCAAGACATTGATCGTTGTATCCTGGGAGATAGACGTCCATTGAATCCTAAGCACCGGTGGGAGGACGAATCTGTCTTAAGGAAAAAGTGTCACACACTCGACTCGATTAGGTTTTATTTATTTATGTACCGTAAGTTTTGTTACATTATTATGTTGATTTATTTCAGGTTTGGTTTTGCCCAAAAACCGTTTACATATTTTTAAATTATATTTTCCATATAGTTTGGTACTATTTTTCTAATAGCAGTTGCTTGTGTCATTTCTTTGAGCATTAGCGGTGCTTCAAGAAGTACTTGGACCTCTATTGTTACATATGTATTTTTTTTTCTCTGTTTCTCTGTTTCTCTCTCTCTCTTTGTCTCACTCTTAATCTTTGTATTTGTGTTTCATTACTCCTCTTACTCACATGGTTGTTATTTTTTTTTGCACCTAACTGTGTGGGTAAAAATCTGACCACACTGCCCGTTTAGTGATCAGCAAGAAAGCACAGGCAGAATAGATGGCTTTAGCAACCTGTAACAGAAAGAAAAAGCTCCGGCGGTGGTTCTTCCACCCGGGGGCACTCCGACGATCAAGTCAGTATATCTCTCAAAGATAAAATCAAGTGTTAAACTGAATACTCAGAATATAAATTGCATACCTTAGACCCACGGGGGTGCCTCTCTTTTATAATATACTCAATCCAAGTCCCACTAGAAGTATGACTTCTATGAACTCCAATCTTAGTGCTTACTTTGGACTCTTTAGGAGATAGAGATAAACTCCCCAAGAGCTTCATCCTTATCTTAATTAAGTCCTCTCTTTGCCTCAAGACTCTTGTCCCTTATCTCGGATTCCGATATCTTCGGAGATAACCTCGGCTTCTCCGAGATTATCTCGGCTTAACTACCAGGACACGTAGCACCTCGGCTGGCACGTCGGCGTCACCATGCCACGTGCTGGTATTCAGAAAATACATCCCCACAACTGCCCCTTGTGGCATTCTGAGGTGATGGAACCTATTCCGATATTTTGTCACTTTTTTTCTGAGTAATGGCTCAAAAGCTGATTTAGCCAAGATTATCTACTTTCAGCCGACGTGTTCTCTTCGGAGAACAAGGCTTCGATCGTACTTTCCCACGCGCATGAGCTGTCATGCATATCTAACTGTTTCTTCTACGTGTTTCGTCTTTATTGGAGTGTGTTAGTAACGCACCTAAAGCTGTCTGTTCGTTCGTCTGCGCCGTCTAACGCGTGCGTTACCCTAGGCGTAATGATTGCCCTAATTTTGCCGTCGTTTCACATTTTTGACAAAACTTTTCTTTTGCCTCTATCTTTTCTTCACTTTTTCATTCCGTCTTCTTGCTCTTTCTCTCTCTGAAAGCTCATTCTTCTTTGAATCTGCCATTGCTTCAATCTTTCTTCTAGAACTGCTCTTAATCCCTCATTCCTGCAAAGCCTTCTTTGCTGTTGTAACTGGTTTCTGCGTTCGGCGAGTATTGCCTCGGCTTCATTTGTCCTGGTAAGACCCTTTCCTTTAATTCTTTCATTCTTTTTATGTGCTTTTGTCTGTCTGTTGCCATTACCGATCTTGTTCGAGGTCTTGGATTTATTTGTTTCTTGAATTTGTGGCTATACCTCGAACTTCTATGCTTTTTCATCATTCTCTTTGCCGCTGTTCTTGATTTTTTTCTGTATCTCTATTGTTTCTGAGAACTATACCTCTGTTCTTGAATCTGAAACTTCGTCTTTGTTTTCTCTTTTTTGTATCTGCCCCAGATCTGTGCCTTCGATCTTTATCCTCATAGTTCATAGATTTGGGATTTGTCTGTAGAACCCTTAATCTTTAGGGAAACCTGAAAAACGCCCATCTTTTGAAACATATTCCTCTTAGTCTAAGCCGACATAATGGGTATGTGGAGGCATAGGGTCAATACCCCAACAAAACTTGAATACTTTAGGCAAGAATTCTCTATCCCAGCCGACGTTCATCTTAAGCTGGCTGGGGATAATGATACCATCGTGCCCATAGACCACATAATGCCTTTTCCAATAGTTGCTTTTACCGAATGTGGACTTCGGCTTCCACTTGATCCCCTTTTTCGTCAAGTTCTCCATTTCTATAAGCTGAACCCCATGCAACTTACTATCAATTCCTATAGGGTAATTAACGGTATTATAGCCTTAGCTAGGCAAGAAAACCTTAGAATCACCCTAGCCGACCTTCAATATTGTTATACCATGTGCCCTCTTGATCTGAAGGATAGGGGTTTTGTCTATTACCTTAAGCCGAGATCCACTCAGTACAAAATTATAGCCGACCTCCCAGACTCCAACAAGGGGGCTGAAGATGATTTTCTCATTGCTTCTGGAAATTGGGAATTTGGCCCAGATGAAGATGTCCACCTCTACCCTCTTCCTCGAACAATCACAGAGGGCAAGAGTAAGAGCCCTAAGTCAACACTTAGTTGTTTTAATTTAAGATTTTAATATTTTATTTCTGACGCCCGTTTCTTTGCAGATCTTCATCAACCACCAAAAAATTTTCGTCAATCCTTCTCCCCAGGAACAGATCTGAAAACACTAGTTTATTAATACTGGGGCTTTCGTTTAAGGATTGGAAAGCCAAGAAGTG